ATATGGATACCAGCATGCTGGCTCAGCCCACTGTATGGATACCAGCATGCTGGCTCAGCCTACCGTATGAATACCAGCATGCTGGCTTAGCCCATTGTATGGATACCAGCATGCTGGCTCAGCCTACTGTATGAATACCAGCATGCTGGCTCAGCCCACTGTATAAATACCAGCATGCTGGGGCAGCCTACTGTATGAATACCAGCATGCTGGCTCAGCCTACTGTATGGATACATGTACCAGCATGCTGGCTCAGCCTACTGTATGGATACATGTACCAGCATGCTGGCTCAGCCTACTGTATGAATACCAGCATGCTGGCTCAGCCTACTGTATGGATACCAGCATGCTGGCTCAGCCCATTGTATGGACACCAGCATGCTGGCTCAGCCCATTGTATGGACACCAGCATGCTGGCTCAGCCTACTGTATGGATACCAGCATGCTGGCTTAGCCTACTATATGGATACCAGCATGCTGGCTCAGCCCATTGTATGAATACCAGCATGCTGGCTCAGCCCATTGTATGGACACCAGCATGCTGGCTTAGCCTACTGTATGGAAAGCAGCATGCTGGCTCAGCCTACTGTATGGATACCAGCATGCTGGCTCAGCCTACTGTATGAATACCAGCATGCTGGCTCAGCCCATTGTATGTACACCAGCATGCTGGCTCAGCCTACTATATGGATACCAGCATGCAGGCTCAGCCTACTGTATGGATACCAGCATGCTGGCTCAGCGTACTGTATGGATACCAGCATGCTGGCTCAGCCTACTGTATGGATACAAGCATGCTGGCTCAGCCTACTGTATGAATACCAGCATGCTGGCTTAGCCCACTATATGGATACATGTACCAGCATGCTGCCTCACCCTACTGTATGGATACATGTACCAGCATGCTGGCTCAGCCCATTGTATGGGTAGCAGCATGCTGGCTCAGCCTACTGTATGAATAGCAGCATGCTGGCTCAGCCCATTGTATGGATACCAGCATGCTGGCTCAGCCTACTGTATGAATACCAGCATGCTGGCTCAGCCCACTGTATAAATACCAGCATGCTGGGGCAGCCTACTGTATGAATACCAGCATGCTGGCTCAGCCCACTGTATGAATACCAGCATGCTGGCTCAGCCTACTGTATGGATACCAGCATGCTGGCTCAGCCCATTGTATGGACACCAGCATGCTGGCTCAGCCCATTGTATGGACACCAGCATGCTGGCTCAGCCTACTGTATGGATACAGCATGCTAGCTCAGCCTACTGTATGAATACCA